TGTAGTCTTTTGGACACTTGACAGGTAACAGAAGACTACAGGAACATTCATGAAGCGCAGCGCTACTCGCGCATGCGCAGTGGGTACCCGGCTGTGAAGCTGCAAGCTGTCACAGCCGGGTGTCCACACTGAAGATGCCGGCCTCCTGGAATACAGGCCGGCTGGTGAAGCGGGTGCGGGGGACACACCACGGGATCGTGGGACAGGTAAGTGGCTGTTTTTGAAAAGTCCGCAGCTACAGTTTTTGTAGCTGCTGACTTTTATTTTTTGACAGCATGAGTGCAACTCTGCTTTAAGCTTCACCTCCTGACCAATAGGAGCGCCCTTACTGGCAACCAAGGCATTTCCTTTGGACAGAAGGATAGTTATTGGTGGAGTCAGGCCCTAGTAATGAACTGAAACTTAGGCCTCATGTACACAGGGCATGACAAGGGTAGAACGCCTTCCAACCTAACCAGGCCTGCTAGGCCATACCCTCCACCATCCCAGCTATACAAAATACACAAACAAGTTTTTGGAGTCAAAATGACCATAGCAGCCTTTTATTAGCCAATAAATTATTTTAACATATATAACATAACATTCCAATTTATGAACAGAGGAAAACGTGGTGGTCTTTTGAGGGCCATAAACCCAATTTCACTTTTGTGGAAAACATTTCTTCAACTTAGGCCCCCAGCCGTAACCCACCGGCTTGGAGACAATCCTACTTATCCCCAGCCGTAACCCACCGGCTTGGGGACAATCCTACTTATCCCCAGCCGCAACCCACCGGCTCGGGGACAATCCTACTTATCCCCAGCCGCAAACCCACCGGCTTGGGGACAATCCTACTTATCCCCAGCTGCAACCCACCGGCTCGGGGACAATCCTACTTATCCCCAGCCGCAACCCACCAGCTCGGGACAATCCTACTTATCCCCAGCCGCAACACACCGACTCGGGGACAATCCTACTTATCCCCAGCCGCAACACACAGACTCGGGGACAATCCTACTTATCCCCAGCCGCAACCCACCGGCTCGTTGACAATCCTACTTATCCCCAGCCGCAACCCACCAGCTCGGGGACAATCCTACTTATCCCCAGCCGCAACCCACCAGCTCGTTGACAATCCTACTTATCCCCAGCCGCAACACACCGACTCGGGGATAACCCTACTTATCCCCAGCCGCAACCCACCAGCTTCGGGACAATCCTACTTATCCCCAGCCGCAACACACCGACTCGGGGATAACCCTACTTATCCGCAGTGACCATTTTACCTATTCCGACTTAACCGCTTGTTAACTGGAATGTACCGAGGTCCCCATATCACTGATGGGTCCCGAATCTGTCTCCATTGAGAATTCTTTCCTCCTCCAAAGACCAACCACCTGCCAAGGCTGACGTGACAATCCAAACCAAAGCACGAAGGGGAGGAAGGGGGGAAAGCTTCTTCTTTTTCCAAACTCTCCCCCACTGGACTTCCTGAGGACAGATCCTCCTTTTCCTCCCTGGGAGATGCTCCCCAACATTCCCCATCCTTAATCCCAAAAACTTCCTTCCCATAATTTAACCCTCTGTTGTCCCTCTATCCCCCCCTAGTCATGTCGACCCTGCGCTTATTTTTTTTTTTTTTTGCTCCGGATCTATCTTTTTTGCAGCCACTTTTAGGCTCCGTTCACACCAATGCATTTTTTTTAGTGCTTTTTGCAGAAACGCACTACAGTCCACTTAACATGGGTCAGGGATTTTTTTTTTTAAAACAAAAAGCGTTTTTGAGTTCAACAGAGAATCTGCATGGTAGTGCGTTTTTATTCTGCCCAGCAAAAAAAAAAGCTGAACAAACATGCATCAAAAACATGTGTAGAAAAACACAAAATGAACTGTGAAAAGCACTGCAAAATGGACAAAAAGCAAACTGAATAGGTGTGAATGGGCCTAACCTAAGGGCCGTCAAGCAATTTTTTTTTTGCTGCTTCCAAACAGCCCTCCATGTTATTTTACTCCTAACCCTCTTGTATTGAACTGTATTGTTGCTGTATTGTCTCCTGTTATATTGTAAAGTGCTGAGCAAACTGTTGGTGCCATAAATCCTGTATAATAATAATAATAATAATATATAAATCCTGTATAATAATAATATATAAATCCTGTATAATAATAATAATATATATAAATCCTGTATAATAATAATATATAAATCCTGTATAATAATAATATATATAAATCCTGTATAATAATAATATATAAATCCTGTATAATAATAATATATATAAATCCTGTATAATAATAATATATAAATCCTGTATAATAATAATATATAAATCCTGTATAATAATAATAATAATGTGTCCATGCACACATAGACTTTTAGAAGCTTTTGGTAGCAGTAACATTTACCAGCAGGAAAAAAAACCCAAGGCCAATGCGTCCAGGAGCAGCAGTGTTTTGGCAGAAAAAACGCTTGACTTGGCTAAATGCGTCTGAACGCTAGGTGCGTTCATTCAATTCAATGGCCAGAATAAATGATCATTCTGGCCAATTAAATTAATTAACGCCCAAGCGCTTGATGCTTGTAAACACCCCTAAACGCTTGTAAAAGCATTAGATACTTTTACAAGCGTCAGACGTTTTTTTCTGCAAAAACGCTGCTGCCAGGAGGGAGGATTCTAGGAGAGTTTTGTTTAAAGTCCTGTGTTTTTAGGCTGGGGGTGCTGTGCTGTGCTCAGTATGGGGGGGGGGGGGGTTACTGAAGACTCTGATGTGAAGGGGGGTGGGGACTGAGGACTCTGTTGTGAAGGGGGTGGGTGGGTGATCTGATATGTCAGGTGACCCCCCCTTTTAGGCTGGGGGTGCTGTGCTCAGTATGGGGGGGGGGTTACTGAAGACTCTGTTGTGAAGGGGGTGTGTGGGTGATCTGATATGACAGGTGACCCCCCCTTTTAGGCTGGGGGGTGCTATGCTGTGTCCAGCATGGGGGTATTACCGAAGACTCTGACGTGAAGGGAGTTGGGAACTGAGGACTATGATATGAAGGGGGTGGGGTTTTTATATGACAGGGGACCCCATTTTAAGCTGGAGGGGCTATGATGTGTCCAGCATGGGGGGATTACTGAAGACTCTGATGTGAAGGGAGTTAGGGACTGAGGACTTGAAGGGGGTGGGGGTCTGATGTGACAGGGGACCCCATTTTAGGCTGGGGGTTCTGTACTGTGTCCAGTATGGGGGGGAGGTTCCTGAAGACTCTGATGTGAAGGTGGTTCAGGGACTGAGGACTCTGATGTGTAGGGAGTGGGGGGGATAATATGACAGGGGACCCAGTTTTAGGCTGGGGGTGCTATGCTGTGTCCAGCACAAGGGGGTTACTGAAGACCCTGATGAGAAGGGGGTTAAGGACTGATGAATCTGATGTGAAGGGGGGTGAGGACTGAGGTCTCTGATGTGAAGGGGTTGGGGGGTCTGATATGACAGGGGACCCCATTTTAGACTAAGGTGCCTTGAAATTTTGCAACATAGGGGAATTTTTTTTTCCCCTAGAGATCAGATTTCAAATTTAGCAGCCTTTAATTACCCCCCCCCCCCCTTCCCGCCCTGATATTCTCTGGTCATCCTATGACCCTTGCCCTGATCTGAAGTGACCTATTATACAAAAATAAATCACCGGAGCCGTCTCTGCAGTGTTATTACAAAGAGTTACTTAGTAATGGCCGCTGCGGCACGACTGCCAAAGTCCAATTTGTGGAACGGCGGGGGCCAGCGTGCCTATTGATGACACTGCGTGACCCGGAGAGGTGCTGACACGGCTGAGCCGAAGCATCGGCATAACGGTTACACAGTTACCAGGTCCCTGGGGACAGTGTGCTCAGGTGGTTGAGCTTTCTTGATTAGCCCTTTAATAATTTCCTAGAAGGTTACATTCCCAAGAGACGGGGCAAAGGCCTCTGGGCTGAGCGATCGCACTGGCTGTTAAATGGGCCCGTGAGCCCATCAATAAAAAGGACATGACACGACGTCCTTGTTAGGGTCGATGTCAGATGGCTACTTTTGCACTCTGCGGCTTTTTGGAAAGAGGACTTGTAGCCTTTGTTGGGCCCCAATCACGCTTCTGCATTGTGTTAACACGTGTTAAAACCTGCGTCAGCACATGGTATAGGTACACTGACGCACCCCAGCAAACAGTACACAGTAAAAAATGGACCTGCGCTATAGGGCACCACAGTGAACAAATGTGAATGATCTGTGGTGCGCTGTACTGACAATAAAAGTGCAGGTCTGTTTTTGCTTTAAAGTGGTTCTAAACCTCAGACATGAAATATGAACAAAGCGTATCCCTCAATCCAGAGCACTAAGTGTCATTTCTGTCTGCTGCCTCCTTCCTCTGCTATCAGCATGAGTCACCTCTGACAAGTTTTCCTGACACCAAGAGAAAAAAGGTGACAGGGGAGGGAGCTCCAGCCTACAGCCTGTGATTGACAGCCTCAGCTCTGTTCCTGTGTGAAGGGGGACGTGTCCCTTCCCTCCAATCAGTGGACTGGCTCTTGTTAGGAGTTATTATTATTATTATACAGGATTTATATGGCGCCAACAGTTTGCTCAGCGCTTTACAATACAACGGAGAGACAATACAGCAACAATACAGTTCAATACAAGAGGGATAGGAGAGCCTGATCCTGGGAGCTTACAATCTAGGAGGGAGGGGCTAGTGGTACAAAAGGTAGTAACTGTGGGGGATGGATTGGTAGGAAGAGTAGAAGATTCCAGTATTAGCTGAGGGCAGGATAGGCTTCCCTGAAGAGATAGCTTTTCAGAGATCACCTAAAAGTGAGCAGAGTAGGCGATAGTCTGATAAATTGGGGTAGAGAGTTCCAGACAATGGGGGAAGCTCTGGAGAAGTCCTGGAGACGAGCATGGGAGGAGAAGACAAGGGAGCTAGAGAGCAGGAGATCATGCGAGGAGCGGAGAGTACAGTTTGGGTGATATTTGGAGACAAGATTGGTGATGTAATTTGGGGCAGAGTTATGAATGGCTTTATATGTTATTGTTAATGTTTTTAATTTTATCCGTTGGGCAATGGGAAGCCAGTGGAGGGATTGGCAGAGAGGGGTGGAGGACACTGAGTGGAGGCCAGTGGAGGGATTGGCAGGGAGGGGTGGAGGACATTGAGTGGAGGCCAGTGGAGGGATTGGCAGAGAGGGGTGGAGGACACTGTGTGGAGCCAGTGGAGGGATTGGCAGAGAGGGGGTGGGAGGACACTGAGTGGAGGCCAGTGGAGGGATTTGCAGGGAGGGGTGGAGGACATTGAGTGGAGGCCAGTGGAGGGATTGGCAGAGAGGGGTGGAGGACACTGTGTGGAGGCCAGTGGAGGGATTTGAGTGGAGGCCAGTGGAGGGATTGGCAGAGAGGGGTGGAGGACACTGTGTGGAGGATTGGCAGAGAGGGGTGGAGGACACTGTGTGGATGCCAGTGGAGGGATTGGCAGAGAGGGGTTGGAAGAGTAGAAGATTCCATTATTAGCTGATAAGCAAATATCAAAATACCTTGATGGGTGAGTGTCGGTCGGGAGAAATGTTCATTCCTAGGAAGGCTGCCTTAGGTAACGCACACATGTGATGCTGATTGAAATGATTAAAATCCAATGAACGCAAGGGGTGGGCCCGGGACAGTTGGACTGGGGAGAAAAAAGCTAAATGATGCTGGATGTCCAGGAAATGAGGCTTGCTGCAGCTTTTAATGCACAATGTGAGAACCTCACAGTGTGCAGTGAAATCAGGGTAAGCTATTTCAGTCGAAGAGAGGAACTTGTACAGCCACGTAAAATCATAGGGATGGCTGGAGGTCAGGCAGAGTACATTCCTGGCACGATTCTGTGCCATAGCATAGTAACTTCTTCTGTGTGTGCGCCCAGCAAATCAAGCTGCCAAACTCAGAAAAAGACCAGAAGAAGATGGAAGCTGTGGTGAGGGTGGGGAGCACAGACCTTGCAGCACTGGATGCAATCACTTTGGTAGGTAAATCTGCCATAATCTGTGAATGTGCTGCACAGTAAAGAATATTACGGCTAAAATCTTCTGGGCGGCCCTCATTTTTTTTTTTTCCTGGTTGCTGGTTTACTTGCGCTTTAAGACACTGAAACAATGAAGCCGGTACTTCCTTTCCATTGCCTCCTATGTCTTCTGCCAAGGGGGTGATGGGAAAACATGTAATCAATGAAATGAACACCAGGCATGCAGGGGGCCGTTATCCACGCTTCACTGAAGGAGGAAGAAGGAAGCAGGAAAATAAAGAAGACATTGACTGGGATCAAAGGTTTCCTTGCCAGAGACCTAGGCTGAGCACAATGGAGGGGACAATTGTGGGCAGAACCACCATTCCAGTTAAAGACAAAAGTATTTCCAAGCAGGTGTATTGGACGTTGCCTGGAAAACCTTCCTTAGTTCCATCTGCGCACCGTGTTATATATTGTAGATGCTGCACTCTGTGGACTGGGACTCTAATTTCTGAGCCTGAAAATTGTTTTCTTGAGCAGTTATTGCCCTGACCAGGGCCAGGATAAGGAGAGGGCAGAAGAGGCAGCCACACCGCATGCACGCTACAGATTGGTGGGGGGCAGCTAGCAGACCGCTGCATCTTTGATTCACTTTCAGAAAGCGTGCCAAAAACCCACAGCTTAATAGAAGTCAATGGGACCGTGGATTAGATTGTAAGCTCCAAAGATCAGGGAAATGTTTCCATCGCAGCCGCCCATTGTATTCTGCAGATTTCGTAAGTGTGATGTCAAGAACATATAAAGCCATTTATAACTCTGCCCCAAATTACATCACCGATCTTGTCTCTAAATATCACCCAAACCGTCCTCTCCACTCCTTGCAAGACCTCCTACTCTCTAGCTCCCTTGTCTCCTCCTCCCATGCTCGTCTCCAGGACTTCTCCAAACTTCCCCCATCCTCTGGAACTCTCTACCCCAATTTATCAGACTATCGCCTACTCTGCTCACTTTTAGGCGATCTCTGAAAACCTCTCTTCAGGGAAGCCTATCCTGCCCTCAGCTAATAATGGAATCTTCTACTCTTCCAACCAGTCCATCCCCCACAGTTACTACCTTTTGTACCACTAGCCCCTCCCTCCTAGATTGTAAGCTCCCAGGATCAGGGCACTCCTAACCCTCTTGTATTGAACTGTATTGTTGCTGTATTGTCTCCCGTTATATTGTAAAGTGCTGAGCAAACTGTTGGCGCCATAAATCCTGTATAATAATAATGGCTAAAACCGGGGGTAACCTGCAGGAAAACCGGGGATACGCCTGCGCCGCAGCCAAACTGCAGCACACCAGTGTAAACCTACTTAACATCACGTGGGGCCAACCATAGGCTGATGACACAAAACTAAACTCTTCTGGCTGCACGCATGAAAGCTATTGTTGCAGGACAAAATAGGAAAGAAGAGTTGGGGAGGGACAGAGATTTGAAGGAAGGAAGGAAGGAAGGAAGGAAGGAAGGAAGAAAAAGGATGGAGGGAATGGATGGAGGAAGGAAGGAAGGAAGGAAAGAAAGGAAGGAAGGAAGGAAAGAAAGGAAAGGGAAAGAAAGAAAGAGAGAAAAAGGATGGAGGGAATGGATGGAGGAAGGAAGGAAGGAAGGAAGGAAAGAAGGAAGGAAAGGAAAGGAAAGGAGGGAAAGAAAGAAAGAGAGGAAAAAGGATGGAGGGAATGGATGGAGGAAGAGGGAGGGAAGGAAGGAATCGGTGGGAGGAAAGATTGAAGGGAGGGGATGGAGGAAGGAAAGAAAAGGGAGGGAGGGAATCGATGGAGGAAGGAAGGAATGAAGGAAGGAAAGAAAATGGATGGAGGAAGTAATGAAGGTAAAGGAGGGGAAGGGAAGGAAGGGGAGGGGAAGGAAGGGAGGAAGGAAGAGCTCACTCACTTGGATGGTCCCTGGATCATAAGCATCACAATACAGCTGCCGGCTGCTCTGTATACATGCTAATGCGTTTTGAAGGCTTGCCTCTTCCTCAGAGCCCTGAGAGGCAAGCCCTCGAAATGCGGAAGACTGTTGGAAATCCAAGGTTCCCATTGCAGATGGTCATGTAGTGTGGATTGGACAGTGCTGTTCTTTACGATGTGCCTTTCACATTATTGTCATTTGTGAGTACGATACCTATCTTTATTTCTTCAATAAATGTTTTTTACGGTAATGCGCTAGGCCAGTGCGTCCTCTGTTTGTTTTCTTTATATCCAGTGCATTTGGACTTCCCCGGTCCGTCAAGGGCAGCAAGGAGTGCACATTCCAGGACATCCGAGATGTGGCCATAGCCTATGCTGAGTCCATCCCCAAGCGTAGGAGTATTTGAGTTTGCTGTTTTCGTATATACTGTAGGTCGGCATGGCATTCAATGGGCCAGCGGCTGCGCACAGACGAAATATCAATATAAATCTTTCTTCTGGTAGTTTATTTATTGCACGGACCTCAACACAAAATGTTGTGTTTTTTTCATAACTACAAAATAATAAGGACGTATGCTTTTTTTTTTTTCAACCAATGACATCTGGCTGTAATTTTTTCTCTGTATACACTCAGCACGTGTTTAATTGTAAGCGTCTGCCGCGGTTCATACGGTCAGAGACGTTTTCATGTCGCAGAATAATTTGATGTGGTAATTAAACCTTCTGCTTACTTAGCAGTTTGGGAGCCTCTGCTTAGGTGGCGGATCGCTATTTTGTTTTGGAGATCTGATGCCGAGTGGGGTGAATTCACATTCCTAACAGTTCAAGTCATGTCAAGCTGCTCCCACTTTAACCGAATGGTGATAATCTCTATTTGAGCCACTAGGAATGTTAAACTGGAACTCCAGGCAAAATAACATAGGAAAAAAATGTTAATACAGTGTTATTATTATTATACAGGATTTATGTAGCGTCAACAGTTTGTGCAGCGTTTTACAGAATAAAGGGAGACAGTACGGTTACAATACAATTCAATACAAAAGGGTTGGGGGGCTGCAAATGAGAGCTTACAATCTAAAGTGTTGCTTTCTTTAAAAATGATACAGTATGGGCTTGTTTACACTTGCAATTGGAAAGGGGGGGGTGGTAAAACCCTGCATTTTTACACCCCCTAAACCACCATCATGTTATTATTATTTATTATACAGTATTTATAAAGCGCCAATGGTTCGCTCAGCGCTGTACATTACAAAGGGGGACAGAACATGTGACAGAACAATACCAATACAATGCAAAACATGAGGGGATCGAGGGCCCTGCTCTTTGGAGCTTACAATCTAGTTATCCATATACACACACCTCCTTACTGCCTGCTTTATCCCCTTGATCGCCCCACTAGTGTGCCTATACACGTGGCATGGCATTTTCAGAGTGGCTCCACCTGAATGGGTCATGTATGACACACTGCACTCACAGTCTTTCCTCAGTCTGCTGGGTTGAGTAATGCATGACATCAGTCAACCTGGAAGATTGAGGATATCTTGTGATATAAAGGAGGTACTGCATGGGATAGCTTTGGTTAAATATGAGAATGGCAGCCAGAGCTGCTTTTTTTTTTTTTTTTTTTTTTTTTTTTTATGACTTCCAGAAGGGACAAAAAATTTCTCAAAATTGGGATTTGAGAATAAGTTAGGTATGTGCATGATGGTTGGTACATAATTAGGATCCTGAGATTGTGTTTTGTGCCTGGTGTACTGAATATTATTGGTGGCTGCGAGGAACTGCTTAGTGCTGACTAATGATGAACTTGAGTTTGGCTCCAGCTTTAGCCTAAACCTCTGTTCGGTTTAACCCGGAAGTAGTCTTCTGCCGAACCAGGAATGGCCAGGCCAATGAGATTCCCACCTCGCAGCTGCACCTACACTAAGGGACCGGTATGCTCATGACAACATTAACCTATTAGGGTCACATTACCATACTGAGTCAATGACATGGCCATATTGGGTCAGTGATGTCATGTGCATCCCCACCAGTTTGTGTATGTGCAGCTGCGGTACATGAAATGTTCTATGCCACAGCTCATTTGCCCAGGAAAAACAGTTACCGTCCTGATTTGGCCTAACCCAACCTTGTCCTGACACTTTCCTACATCAGGCTTTATGTATGAGAGTCAACAATAGATCTGCAGTGGGCGTGTTTGGGAACACCACTCCTGCATTAAAAATAGGTAAACCAAAGGGGTTTCCACTTAACCAAAACTAAATGGGTTGCTCAGGTGCAATACAACATTTTCTGTATGAAAAAATGGAAATCCCAAGCAGGTGGACTTTATTCCATGGTAGGACTCCCAAGGCTTTATTTTCAGTTCTGCCTGTGGTACAACCAGGGGCTGACTGACAACTCATGGGGCCCCTGGGCAATAGGGGATCATGGGGCCCCTGTGTCCTTGCCCAAACTCAAAAAAGCCTATGAAAAAGGTACCAGGGGCATCTCATGGGGCCCCCTACTGACCCCGAGCCTTCGGGCAGTGCAGAGTTTCCAAATGGTCAGTCCGC